TCATCACTTGACGGCCAGGATGCCTCTGAAGACGGACCGGTCACTTCTGAAAGGTGAGTTCAAATATTTTCGGATAGGGATCAAGCATTAATGAAAGGCAACCAAGCGACACCAGACAAATCGACGAGCGATGAGCTTCTTCTGCCCCTCGGAGTTCGCCGGGTGCCGGGCGTCGGCGGCAAGGACATCTACAAAATTGGATTTGAGAGCGCGATCTCGCGATAGCGATATCACGAATTAGTAGGAAGCCTTGAAGGTGTGGCAAGCAAAAAAATAGCTAGAGATTTGCTACCGCGACACGCAACGCGAGCAGGTTCATTACGCAAGGCGTAGAGCGATTACGGAAAAAGCGTAGAGGGGCAGTCTATTACGCAAGGAAAGGCGGACGTAGCGTTGCGTGTCGCAGGCGGCAAATCCACCGAAAATTTTGCTAAAAAATCAGTACTAATTTGTATATTTCTTACAAGAGTTGATGTTTAAGAAGAATAAAAAATAAGCGCAACCCAAAAAAAAAATTTCTGCCTTCCCCATCCCTTTAAAACCAAGGCATGGACGAGCGCAGAAAGCAAAAATGACTGCCGCCTCACAAACACCTCGGTATCAACCGAGCCTTAAGAAGTCGAGTCATCCATCCGGGATACTACGGTATGAATAGCACATGAAATGGACGGTGACACATCACGCAACGTTTGCACGTTGCGCTTTTTTTGCGAGTTGATAAGGTGGAGCACGACGAATGCAGAAAAATAGATTTTTGTCTTGAATTTTGCAAAAATTGGTTTAAAAAAGGATTTTAATCTTTAAAAAAATGGGAGTTTTTGGGAGCATTCCGATCAGTTTTCTCGGTCAAGCGGCAAAAATAATCTTAAAAATTGGTTAAGGAAGCTATTTTCACATGCGTATTCCCGGACTGAAAAGGTGGAACGAGACCGATGGCGAGAAATAGACTATGTATAAAAACCTTGAAAACAAAGCCGAAACTGAGAAAAATACCGCTAAAAACAGCTTGTTTCAAAATATTGTGGGAGCAATAGAGTTCAGATTGTTATGTTTTTTGTTATCTACCACCTCGCTCTCTCACTTTCTCCCTCTCTCTCTCTCTCTCTCTCTCTCTCTCTCTCTCTCTCGCTCTCTCTCTCACTATATTCTCTTTAGATTTCAAGGCCTAAGGTCAGAAATAACGTCAAAATTGCTGGCCCATAAAGCTTCAATTCTAAAGGTTTTTTTGCAAATGTTAATTTGCACCGAAACCAACATTGGGCAGGTTAGCAGAGATCATTGCGGAACTCTGGAAGGCCATAAATTATCCAAAAATCGGAATGGCCTGAGAAAGGGCGCTGTCTGCTGGTCGGTGGCCTCCATAATTATCTGGTTACCGGGGCGCCGATTTCGGAGGGGAGGGGTGGGCATTTTTGTAGCCGTTTCCTCGATGGGCGACACCATCTGATAGCCTTTATGGTCTTTTGGAATGATAGCCCGGAATGGGGTAGGTGAATTGGCTACAGATTTTCCTAAATTTTTGCTACGGATTTGGCCGCGACCGCGACACACTACGCGACGACGACGTCGGCGAGCCGGATCTGTTCCATTATCAGGAGAGGGTGCAAACTGAATTTTTTTGGAAATGTCGAGAAGTGCAGTGACGTCTTTAGTAAATTTAACTATATTTGAAGCGCGAAACCATCTAAAACGCTTAAAAACGTCAAAAATCGGATAAATGGATCAAAAAAAATTATTTTTTGTATTTTTTTGATCCAGTACAGTTAGGTAGCTAGGGTGGTAAACTAACAAAGCAAATAAATAAGGTTCGTTTTATTGCATTATCGTAGTATTATTATCAGTCTTCTTATTGTTTAGATAAAATATACGATAAAACACGATCGCCTCAACTAGTCAACTCCGGTCAAATCCTAAAAATTTCGGAATAAAAATTCGTTGCAACGAAAAATTATGCCCATAAAAACACCCATACCTTGATGTGGGCTATCACATTACCCGAAACCGGAATATCCGATCCGGATGGCAATACCCCGAAAAACAGAGAACAAATATCTTGTGTGGCGGACAGCTTGCTTTTGTGGGTCTCGATTTGTTAGAGGGGGAATGGATGGCCCAGTGAGAGTGACGGGGGGACATTGGAACGGCGAGAGAGAGAGAGAGAGAGAGAGAGAGAGAGGGGAGGAAGAGCACATTATGCTGCTGTCTCGTGTCCCTCGGGCATTTTTTAGGGCCCACCGGAGGGGCCAAGCGGCCCAAAGCTCATGAGACGGAATTTAGAACGGAATTATGTCAATTTTTGAGTATTGAAATTGTTTGAAGCTTTTAAGACATCAACGTGTCAATTTTTAAGTTTACAGTGCCGTATGAGTAAGCAAAAAAACATTAGACTGATTTAAAGGCGCTCTTAGGCTTAGGCTTCAGCTTCGGCTTGCTTGGGCTTGGAGCGGGCTAAGAAGGCTAAGCTTCACGCCTGCTTCAGCTTCGGCTTGGCTTCGGCTTGACTTCGGCTTAAGCCTAGGCTTCCTAAAATCATAAAATCAATTCAACTCCAAAAGTCAAATGGCCAAATTTTTCGAGGGTTTCCCGCTGCGATTTGAAAGCTGCCCTTATTTGTGCACTGTGTAGATAAGGGCCCACCTCGAAAAGACGCTAAAAAAGCCCGAAACCCTCGAAGAGAACTTTGCCCAGCCAGTGGCCCGCCCGGGCAAAGCTCGCATTAGGCGGTCAACCGATAACGCGTTCACTTTTTGGCGGGCTTTTCCCCCTGGGGAATTCCTTGAAGGTTGGAAAACTGCCTAGAAAAACCGCAAAAAACAACTTGAAAAACGGGCAAAAAGGACGCAATTTAGCACACCCTAATTCGCTAATTGACGAGCTAAATAACAACAAAAATTTCTGGAAGCCGAAAAGCCCTAAAAAAAACCCGGTATACCCCAAAAACAAGCCCAAAAAAGGGTTGAACTAACAATGGTGGTGTGCCTTCTCGCGTTTGGGGCATTGAGCTGCCTTTCCACGGCTTCGACGACCTCTGCAAATAATTGATGAAGCCGGAGGGGCAGAGGGAGAGGGACGGGAGGCTAGAATCGACTCTGGCTCGCCCGTAATCGAATTCATCTAATCACCTCGTCTGTATGCATATTAAAGAGATCTTTTAGTGGTCCGTAAGCTACCTTCAACGCTCCTTTAAAAAGAAAGCCAAAGCAGAATTATAGAATTTTGCTTCTAATTTTACAATTTATTTATCGGTGTCGCGAAACACAACGCGCACACCATGCTTCAACTCTTAGAAAAGCATGAAATCCATTACAAAATGGAAAGGCGGACACGCGACGCGTGGCCTATGTGTCGTGGACGCGTCGCGGTAAATTCTGAACCCTCCTAGACAAAAATTGCCTTGCCGGGACCTTTAAGAAGACGTAAAACAACTAACATAAATTTTTTGACTCGAAATTCCCTACGCTGGAATTTTACAGAGAACGCGATAAGCAACGCACGCGCCGCACTTCACGGGATGTTGCGAAAATCGAGAATAGCAAAAACCATATCAGAATCGAAAAAACGTCAAAATCCTGGCAGTCAAAATGCCGACAGCCGAAATACCGACAAACGTGGTCGGGAAATCCATAATGCCGACAGCCAGATTCCAGGCCGACCAAAATACCGACAGATAGAATCCCGACAATGCAAAAAGAAAGTGCAGTTTAAGGGAAAGAGAGAGGAGAGAGAGAGAGAGAGCAAGAGATTTAGGCCACGAATATGTCGGGATTTTGACCAACTGAATGTGTACTGTCGATATTATGGCTGTCGGGTTTATAGCTGTCGGTATTATGGATGTCGGGATTTTGACTGTCGGGCTTTTGGAAAACGCCACCACCCTAATTCCGCCCCGATACTCACCACAAATGGCTAGCGTCGACGAGCTGCGCCGCGCTAGTCGCCGATAGCGGACCGGGGTCGGGCTACGGGGGTGCATTTTAGAGAAGAAGCGACCGAATAGAAGGGAATAGACGTAGATCCCGGTCGAATATGGTCACCAAATAGAATGTAAAGGGCGAAAGGCTGTGGGGGGACCAATCCGTCAAACGGCTCGTGGATGGTGTTGTGACTGGGGATATGGATGGGATGGCAGCCAGATATTCCCCCAATGGATACAAGACAAAATATACGCCTACATTCTCGCTAGGGGCATACAGCTAGCATAGACCATTTGGGAAGGTTTTTAAAGGGACGGGCAAGGCAACGAAGGGTCGGATTTTTTGTGGCTTTCCCTTGAATTTACGACAAAATCAATCATTTTTCAGGTTTAGCTCCCTGTCACAGTCCCTTTAAAACGTGCTAAGGTCAATTATTCCCCAAAAAACTCGGAAACAAAAGGGGAATGCAATAAGCATCAACGGAGCCGCAGCTAGGAGGGAGGCTGGGCCCCCGACCCCGAGGGGATGAGGATGATGTGAAGCCCGGCTTTCTGGAGGCCTAATGAGAAAGGATAAAAGAGAGAGAGAGAGAGGAGAGAGAGAGAGAGAGAGAGAGAGAGAGATGAAGAGCCTTTGCCCACACCCCCTTTCCTATCCAGTCATCCATCCGGTGGCCGCTGCTGAATGCCCAGCTTTGGCAAATAAACTGCTCGAAAAGGCGGTCGGGTCAAGCCACATCGATATGGCCAGTCGATAAAGCGGACTTGCTCGATAGGCTTGGCTTATGCTTATGGCTTAGGGGGTTGGTCCGGGTTGGGCTGAAGCGGCGGCGGGGTGGGGCCTGGCTGGGCCTTTTAGCTTAGCTCTAGGCTTCAGTTGCGGGTTTTGGCCATAACACCCAAATTCCATTTATTCCACGGCAGATCATAATCGTCAGGTAGTAAAGCTTTGATTTGGAGATGAATAAAGAACACAGGCAGCGAGTCGAGGCGAGGGGGGAACAATACGGAAAATGGATCAAAATACAGTAGGCGGAAGGGGGGAAACGGGGCTTAATGTCCGGAGGGCGCTTCCGGGTGTTGTTCAGCGGCCGATAAACTCGGGCTGCTGGCCGGCCGACGTCTGGTAGTTCTTCGCGTTGCAGCTGCGTTCCTGAGAAAATTTGAGTATTTGAAAAATGCCAAAATGTTAAAATTTTAATTTTAGTCGTAGCTTAAAAATTTAAGCCGACTAGTTTTTTTTTGTTTTTTTTTTTTTTTTCTTAATTCTTTTAAAAATTTAATTTAATCCTTTGTTATTTGTTGATTTGGGGTTGGTTTGCTAGGTACCCCGCCCCCGTTAATAGACTAGTTCCAAAACTGAATCACCACAAAAAAAGAAATTCTTACCGGAGGGATTGCCTCGGCCATGTACTTCTCCTGGGTGGCGAGCACGCGCATCAAGCCGTGGGTGGTCAGCCACCTGAAGCAAGGGGAGGTGCTCCACTACCCTTAAAGATCCTACCAAGGATTGCGGACGTTGGTGTGGACAAAGCAGGCCAGCGTCTCCAGCATGCCGACGTCAGCGTACGCCTGGTCGCCGAAACGGACGCCTAAAATATATAGCAAAATCTATAGCAAAGCAAAAATCCCACCGAGCAGCTCGATGTCGGCGGTGTTGCGGCGGGAGTGGGAGAACATCCGCTCGAACGCCTTGGCCCCGAAGCGGGACGCTGCAATGGACGGGATGCCACAGTGGACACGCAGAGCGAGTTTCCATACCCGAGTTGCGGTCAAAGGCGCTCGGCTTACCGCCCTGCACCGAGTGGCCCAAGTAGTTCAGCCGGGTCGAGAACTGGAACCTCTCTCTCTCTCTCTCTCCTCTCTCTCTCTGCTCTCTATCTCTCTCGCTCTTGCTCTCTCGCTGTCCTTTTCTAGCAAACTCTCACGATCTCTCTCCCTCTCCTCCCCCTTTCTCCTCACCTTTCCCTTGCCGGCCTGCTCGAACACCTGCTTCACCTGCTCGGAGCTGAACTCGGCGCGCGCGCCATTTGTGCGCAACAATACGTAGTGCGTACAGCCGCGCTCCAGCTTGCGCCGAGCCTCCTAAAAGCAGAAAAGTCGGCTCAAAGCCGGAAAGATATCATCCCACATCAACATCAGCGGCCAGGTCCTCTTGGCGCATCTTCTCCTCGTAGATGTGGGCATTGTCGGCCCCGGTGGCGATGGCGCCGATGGTGGCCAGATAGCCTGAGTTTTCGCCCTGCACCTCGACGATAAACGCGCTAGAGAGCGTCGTTTCAGACCGGAAATGCGTGAGCAAGCTACCGTTTCTTGGTGCCGCGGGCGCTCTGCTTGATGTTGTCAATGTTGCGGCAAATCTCGTTGAGGGCCGTGTCGGAGCCGAGGCTTTCCACTACGCCCGGCACGTTGTTTCTGTAAGGTTAAGGAAATGGTGAATGTTACAAATTTCGAAAAAATCACCAAAATATCAACAATTTTGGGAAATTCTCGAAGGATTGGCTGAACTCCAGATAACCCCCCGGCCGGCTTCCGCCTACCGTATCTCAGCTGGCTGTTCATCTACAGGTGTGTAAAGTATACCAAAATACTCGCCAGAGCAAGACGAACATTTTGGTATACTTGACACACCTGTAGATGCACAGGCGACCGAGATACAAGAGTTGGGGGCAGGCGCGGGGGAGGGGTAGACCGCACTCTAACCGCAGGATTTAAGCTTATGCCTGATTTCGACTTAGCTTTAGCTTATCAGAATGGCCAAAAACCCCTACGAGATGGTGGCCGGGACGACGACGATCGGAATGCGGAAAGAGTCGTACTCGTCGCGCCAGTCGCGGATCATCAGCGCCGATTGGAAGGCCTGAAAAAACATCCGAAACCTCCGAACAGTTCAAGATACGACACCTCAAAACCACCAATGATGGCGATGCCGCGGATGTTGTGGAGGAGCACGTGGGCGGCGAGGCGGTCTGGGTCGGAGACCAGCTGTCGAGACGTGCCCAACGCCGACCCACCCTCCGACACCCAGCCGATCACGTCGCCCCATTCAAGGGTCTGAATCGTTGAAAGTTTGCGGTTTAAAGGGGCCAACAAGTTAGCAGGGGGTCAGCTGTACCTTGATGTTGCCCTCGGCGAATCCGGGGAAACCGCCGCTGACGCCCATCACGCGGCAATTGTTGTAGCGGGCGACGCGGACGAGAGCATGGGTGGCCGCATTCATTCCTGGACGACGATTTTAGGTACTGTGCTGTTAAGAAGGGGGCTAATTTTTTTGGACCCCATTTAAAACAACACACAAAAAAATTTCACATTTCGAAAATTTGGAATTTTTGGTCAAAAATGTATGAAAAATCACCCAAAAACGAATTTCGAATTTTCAAAATCTTAAAAAAACTTTGTAACTTTCTAGCAATCAAAAACTACGAAAATTGCCATGAAAATACATTTTATATCATCAACAGGTAGATTGGGTGGCAAAACAAAAACTGGTCCCCCCCGCTAACAGTCCAGTACCCAGTCTTTTAGCTACGAGACGCTCCACTGTACGCCTTGTGCAACACAAAATACGATACGATACGAGCCCTACCAGCGGTGGGGCTGCCACAGTGGACGACGAGAAACGTATGGTCGGGGACGTCGAGGATCTCGCGAGGGGGGAACGACACCTGATCGAGGAAGCGACCCTTCTGGCTGTAGTGAGAACCGCGAAGCTGGACGCAGCGCTCGTAGTCGCGGGTCCTAAAAAGTTGAAGTGCTTCCCGGTGACAGGGACCCCACCTATACGCCTTCTCGGCTTCGAGCGTCTTCTCCACGGCACGGCCCAGGTGGCCACGTTCGATGAGCGAAGCGCGCAACGCGACAAAGACGCCCTTCTGATCCTCGCGACGCTGTAGGTTGGGTTCAAAGATTCAGTTCTGGCGTTTTTTTGATACCTGGGCACACGCGAGCACCGCCTCAGCACCCATCCTCGCGCCAAGGCAACGATCGAACGCCGTCGGGACGCCGCCGTACTGGAGATGACCAAGGGAGGTCACCTGGCAGTGGTACTAGAATTATTTGGGGGTTATTGAAGATGTATTGGATACCTTGAGGGTGGTCTCGATGAGACGACTGATGACTGACGGGCTGATCGGGGACCCATCATTGTCCATGGCCCCCTCGGCAACGATGATGATGTTCAGGTGGCGGCCCAGCTGGAAAGGGGTTAGAGCGCAGCTACCCCCCTCCAGCCGGCCCCCAACTTTTGTATCTCGGCTCCCTGTTCATCTACAGGTGTATAAAGTATACCAAAATGTGTGCCTTGCTCTGGCGATTATTTTGGTATACTTTACACGCCTGTAAATGAACAGGGAGCCGAGATATTTAAGCCCGAAGGGGTCTCTTAACCCTGAAAAAAACCCCCAGGAGACGTACCAGTGCCATGCGTTGCAGCTTGTCGGTGAGCGCGTCGCGCCATTCCGTCACGGGCGGCCACTCGGGCACAAACACAAAGTCGGCCTCCACCGCCAACCCGGCCGTCATGGCCAAGAAGCCGCAGTGCTTGCCGAGTACCTAGAAATTGGGCTACCAGTGACTGCTGCAGCCACGCACCTCAACGATGAAGACCCGCTGCGACGAGTTGAGCGACGCCTCGACGTGGTCCACCGAGTCGATGACGCGTGTCAACGCCGAGTCGGCCCCGAGCGTCATCTCCGTGCCCCAGATGTCGTTGGTGACGGCGCTGAACAGGAATTGGTGCTGCGAAAACGGAAGCGCTGCGTTACCACGGAATTCCACAAACGCCCAGGTCCTGCAGCGGCCTGCCCATGTTATCGGGCACCAGGCCCTTGCTCACCAGCTCTTGCACAAGGGAGCGCCATTCTTGCTGAAGTATTCAGCCGATGAGTGGCGCTACGTTAGGCTACACACCTTGAACGTCTGCAGCCCCTCCATCGACCCGCCGCCGCCGATGACGATCAGATTGTTGATGCCGTGGAGGACCAGGGTTTTTGCGCCCTGAAAACTTTTTTGGGTGTCTTAGTCACTCTCTCTCTCTCCCTCTCCCCTCTCTCCTCCCTCTCTCTCTCTTTCCTCCTCTCTCTCTCTCTCTCTCACCTTGAGCCTTCCCTCGCGCGTCTTGAACTCCTCGCAGGGCGCCACACCGAGCACCGAGCCGCCCTTCTGGATCAGACTCGTCGCGCTCTCCCAGGTGGCTTCCTGAAACGCGGACTTTAGCCATCCTTAAAGACACTACAGACCTGCACGCGATTGTCGACAAGCCCGCGGAATCCGTCGTACACGTAGAAGACGCGGCAGTTGACGAACAACCCGGTGCGGACGACGGCCCGGATGGCAGAGTTCATTCCTGGAAAAGAGGAAATAGGGCAGGGACGCGCTTTTAAAGGGCTTGGTAAGGTACGGCCGTTACCTTTAGTTCGCTAAAATCCACAGCTATGCTTTTTTCAAGGGACTGGCAAGGCAAAATTCGTACCTGGAATCGGGCCACTGCCCGTCAGCACGGCGACCAGCTTCTTGTCCTGCATCGCGCCGGATGGGTGGGTGGGAACAGGAGTTGAATGCTTGTTTTTGCTGCGAATTTCTTGCCCAGGAACATCCATGCAATTTGTCGATGCAAATACCTCGTATGCAAATTTATAGGCTACTTCCGATCGTCGCCAAAATATTGTTTTTCAACGGTTTTTCTTCATTTTTCGAGGGGTTTCGTTGTTTTCGCTTTGATTTGCAGCGATTTTTGGAGTGAAGTCGCTCGGTTTTCTTGAATCTTCAAAATCTTCAAAATCTTCAAAATATGTGAAATACATTGTTCAAAATTCCACGCAAAGACCGGAGAAAACGTTTATTTTTGGACATCTAAAAAATGACGGTAGCCAGTCGGCTGCTGTTTTTACTCTTTTATACGCAAAAACCTTGAAAAATTCAGTGAAAACTACAAAAAGTAGAGGTTCTACCATAAATTTAGAATGTTTATTAGAGAGAGAGAGAGAGAGAGAGAGAGGGGGAGTGGTGAGAGAGCAAGACTATGGATTGAGAGGAAAGACGGACAGAGGGACAGAGAGAGCGAGAGAGACAGAGGGGAGAGAGAGAGAGAGGGAGAGAGGAGAGAGAGAGAGAGAGAGAGAGAGAGGGAGAAATAGATTACCTGAAGTTAAGTATTTCCGATAACTTTTCTAGGTATTTATCGGTACCCCGGGATTCCTCTAATTTCCGGTGATCGCTCCCCGCAAGGCCATATTCTCAAACCCAGATTCCAGATTGGCGTAACGAAAGCGATAAGCGCCCCAAGATGAGTCAACCTCTAGAGAAAAATATTCCTCTTTTACCTCCAAGTGGGACGCATGCAAAAGTTTGCTCTATTAAATGGCTCGAGATCGTTATCCGGCCGGTCTCAGTTTGTGGGTGGGGGCACAAAAAAGTTAGCAGAACAAACGACTGCCGCTCAAGGTTGCGTAACTTTTGCGGTGCGAGGAACACGGCGAAGCCTTGAAGTGGCGCTGGGGTTAGATGAAGCCAAGAAGAAGCCACAAAAATTGATGACAAAAGCCGCTTATATACGCTTTCGAGGTGCGATATGAAAAATCGTTTACTAAGTCATTTTTCACCAAATGTCTTCGGTCTTAACCAGACCCTATTTTGCAACTTTACTTTCGGAATTCTCTTCTGATTCCGATCATTAGCTGCCCCGGTTTTCTTCCCACATACATCTTCTTATCTTGTCTCCGGTCTCATCATGGCCCTTTTCTCCATTCCATCAGATACCCCGGTTGCTGTGAGTTTCGACAGCATCTGTCTAACTCTTTATTAATTGGATTCGTGGGGTGTACGTATAAACACATTGGTCGGGAATAAAAGC